CCTGCGCCCTGGGTGCCCGAGCGCGCGCCTCGGGGTGGGGGCGCTGCTCCCACATCCGGGGAGCAGGTGCCGCCGGGAAGCTCCAAGCGCGGGGCCGCGGCTGCTGCTTCGTGCGCGGAGCACGGGAAAGCGGGGGGCCCGAAAAGGCGTGGTGAGTTGTCGCCAGAGACTGGAAAATCCAGCAAATAACGTCCCCAGACACCTGGGTGCTTCACGGAACTGCAGACCGGCCCTTTCCTCAGCCTGTCTAACGCCTAAACCGCTGAGACTCGCAATTCCCCTAATGTGCCCTTTCCCGGAACGGGCTGCCATCCTCACAGTTATCCAAGGCCGGGACTCGGCTGTTAGGGAACCCGCCACCCATCAAAGCAATTGCCAAGTTACACAGAGCATGCTTTTTGTCTCCTGCCTGACCCTTTCCCCCCATTTCTGCCACCACTGCCTTGGTTCAGACGCCCACCTCTCATGGGGCTAAAATTTTTTATAACTTCCTAATTTGCTCCTGTCTAGCATTGCTATAGGTAAAGATCCTAGTTTGTAGGTCCCAAAGCTTATATTAGGGTTCTTCTTTAAGAAACAAATACAAAATCATGAATACACACTTCATCACAAGGTGATCTTTGGGCCTATGTCTTTGTGTTATAATGCCGGATGGGTAGTAAGATTGTTACCTGAATTTCTTTACCAGGATGGCTGGCAATAACTTAGCTATACACAGAAATGACTACAAAAGACTTTAATTGATATTACTGTACACAAACGAAATAATCCTGAACCTCCCCTTAGCTGGTTTCCAAAACCCACAGCCTAGGCTAAACTGTAATGGAGGCAAGTTGTAGTAGAAAGAGGCAGTTGCAATTAAAAATAGCTTCCTTTTGTAAATTTTACTAGAAACAGTTGACCACAGAACTCATTGCTAGCGCCCATTCCAGGACTCCAGAGAAAGGTCACAATGCAAGCAAAGGGCCCTAGTGCGTAAGCATCATGCACTGCCGTCTTCGAAACTGTAGAATCTGATCCTGAGAGTTCCTGGTCAAAACCAACATTTCCCACTCTCCTAAAGAACAGAAATCCAAACTCCTTGGTATAACATTATACTCCAGCCTCTCCTACTTCTAACTGTTCCAACCACTCTACTGCATACATTCTTTGTTCCAGACCATTCAAAATTACATGTGGGTCCTAAACATTTGTGCTATCTCACAAAACCATTCCCTTATAGATACTTTTATACCTAAAGCCCCTTGGCTTCCTGTGCTTTATCTATTATAATTCCTCTCTAAAGCCTCCATGAATTCCAAGTCTGATTTAAAAGCCACTTCCCTATCCTCCCCCTAATACACTATGCTTAGCTTCTTCACATCACTTAGTACATTTTATTATGATATTTTATTTTTAATGATTTTTTCCACCGGACTAAAATTCCATGGCCTATGTCTTTACATTTTCCCTTAGCTTCTAATCACTGTAATCCCATTATTTACCTTAAAGAAACTGCAGATAATATAGAGAAGTAAGGGGTAGCTAAACTAACAATGGGAGGGAGNGAAAACTATCATGAACTGCTATGGGTGAATAGATGGAAAGAAAGATTGAAGAGGTTGAAGGAAAGTTTTGAAATTCTGCTTTTGATAGGGGCTCTTATAATTTCCATAGACTGAGCACCTGAATTAATCTGAAATATAATCATATTACTTTTAAATAATAGAACCCATACTTATGTGAGCAGGGGTTTAAGATTCTTTTTCATTAAGTTTCTTTCTCCTGGGTCTCTGTGCCGCTACACTCCCCTTGATCCAGGATGAAGGAATTAAGGAGGTGACGCAGCTGTGAACAATGTATCATTGAACAGGCATGGTCAGGCCCACCCAACCAGGGGCCAAGATATCATCTTACCCAGACATTGCCAGATGACCAGGAACAAAAGGATGACATCTGCAGACTTCCGGGATTGCATGTAGCTGCATTCCGTTCCCAGCCTCAGTTTACCCCATTTCCCTATATAACCCCATCCCTCAGACCACTCCTTAAGACATGTTTTGGATGCCCATATGCTCCCTGTCGTCTTGGTTGGCTGGCCTTCTCAATAAATGCCTTATATGATTCAACCCTGCCTCCGTTGCATTGGACACAGTGACAGGCAGCCCGAATCCCACTTGGGTTTCCCGGTAACACTTTTGCTTCTTACTCATGTTACCTTGGACAATAATTTTCTGATCCATCACTACAAAAAATTGACAGTAGCAGCACATATGGTCAATATTAATGCGGTTCCAGGGCAGAAGTTATGCTAAAATAAAGAATTGATAAAAACAGATGCTGGTAGACTAGTTACCATCAGTCATTTACTCCTAACAGTAAATAACTAGCACAGAGCCTGGTGCCTTGAAGTGGGTTCTCTCTGTGTCTTCACATGGTCTTCCCCTTGTGCATGACTGTGTCCTGATTTCTTGTTATAAGAACACCAGACACATTGGATTAGGGCCAATCCTAGTGACTTAATTTTAACTAAATTACCTCTGTAAAGATCCTGTCTCCAAATACAGTCACATTCTGAGCTACTGGGGGTTAGAACTTCAATAAATTTTGTGGCAACAGAAGTCAGCCTATAACATATAGTATCCTGTTTGGGATTCTGGAAGAGAAATGGGACATTAGTGGAAAAGCTGAGGAAATCTGAATAAAATCTGTAGTTTAGTTAATAGTGTTGTACTAATATTAGTTTATTTGTTTTGATACTTTTACCATGTTTACATAAGAAGTTAATGTTACAGGAAGCTGGGTAAAGGCTATATGGGAACTTTCTGTACTATCTCTAGTAACCTTCTGAAAGTCTAAAATGATTTTGAAATAGTTAAAAACTTATTAGTTATAAAAAACTAGAGATCTTTGAAATGATAAAATAAGGGAAACTCAAAAGTTAAAGAAAAAATATGCAAATAAATAGAAAATGGGCAAATACACAGAATGAAAAGATGAAAGGAATGTTTAAAAACAGTATTGTGATTAATTATTATCTAACACACTTTTAAGAACTAGAGGAAATGGATAAAAAGGATAAATTGATAAAAATAGGAAATGGCAAATTTGCCCCAAGAGGAAATATAAATTTGATTAGGACAATAACATAAAAAATTTAAATAACTTCCCAGAAAAGTTTTAGGCCTACATAGTTTTGTATATGAATTCTACCAAACTTTTAAGGAACAGTTCTTACAGTTTTTAATTTTTTAAAACCAAAAAGAACAAAGACTGTCCAGTTCGTTTTATGTGATTTTGATTCCAAACCACAGAGGGACACTACATAAAAAATGTAGTCCCATTTTAACTATGCATGTAGATCCAAGAATCCTAAAGGAATAGTTGTCTAAACAAATGTTAAAATATATTAAAATAATTATACATCACGATCCACTGGCGTATATCTTCAAGAATAAAAGGATGCTTTAACATCAGGAAACATACCCATTAAATTCACAGCATTAATTTAAAAAAATGAGAAAAACTATATGATTATTGTAATCAGTATAAAGAGGCATTTTACTAAGTTCAAATGCCTAATTTTTTAATGGTAAACTAGAAACAGAAGAGAACATCCTTAACTTGGTAAAACTTGCTTCTATCAACATTATACTTAAAGAGGAAACTTTTCATTAAAATCTTTCCTTTAACCTGGCTGGGCGAGGCTCAGTGGTTGAGCATGGACCGAGGATCCAGGAGATCATGGTTCGATTCCTGGTCAGGGAACATGCCCGGGTTGTGGGCTTGATCCCCAGTCGGGGGCATGCAGGAGGCAGCCGATCAATGACTCTCTCATCATTGATGTTTTTATCTCTCTCTCTCCATTTCCCTTCCTCTCTCTGAAATCAATAAAGATATTTTTTTAAAAAAAGTTTCCTTTAAGTCAAGGATGCTTACTATCACTGATGCTGTTTAGCATGGTACTGAAAGTTATGACTAATTCTATGTATAAAAGAGAGATGTAAAGATTAGAAGATATTAAACTGTCATTATTTGTAGATGATTTATCTAGCAATAAAATCAACAAATATGAGAACAATTTAGAAAGTTCAGCAAGGTTGATGGATACCAAATCAACATACAAAAATCAATAGCATTTCTCTACACCAACAATCTCCAACAAAAATTCTAACTAGAAAGATGCCACTTTAAATAGCAAAATTCTCTAGTAGTTAATTAAGACTATACAAAAGCTCTATGGACAAATTTTGAAACTGTAATGAAAGACAAAATAAATGATCTGAATAAATGGAGAGATAGCCCATGCTTCGAAAGGGAATAAGTTACTATATTTAAAATGTCAGTTCT